CTGTGCGCACCGCCCCGGCAGGAGGCGCCGCCGGCCGCACCAGTCCGGACCGCGGCTGTCGCTGCGGAAGCCCCCGCAGCGTCCACGCCATGAAGCCCAACTTCTCCCTTCGACTGAGGATCTTTAACCTCAACTGCTGGTGAGTGCTTCCGCGGAGCGGGGTCTGGGGCCACAGCCCCGTTCGCACCCACACAGCCGGAAGGAGACGACCATCCTCACCTCCGGGCCAGGGCTCTCCCCTGTCCTACGATCTCGGGGTTCTGGGAGAACCCGCACCTCGCCCCAGCTCCAGTGGTGTCGGAGGGCCGAGCACCCCCAGCAGCCACCTTCCCTGGCCTTTCTGTTCTTAGGGGCATTCCCTACGTGAGCAAGCACCGAGCAGACCGCATGAAGCGCCTGGGGGACTTTCTGAACATGGAGAGCTTCGACCTAGCTCTACTGGAGGAGGTGGGCTGTGTGGAACTGGTGTGGAACCCTGGATAAGAGGAGGGGTGGCGGGGGTGGGGGTGGAGCAGGAGACTTTCCCTCTGGGGAATGAGCCAGGCCGACCACCTCACCCCTTCCCCCAGGTGTGGAGTGAGCAGGACTTCCAGTACCTGAGACAGAAGCTGTTGCCCACCTACCCAGATGCACACTACTTCAGGAGGTGAGAAGGCTACTGGCCTGGAAGCCTGTTTTGACCTAGAGGCTCTTGACCCTGGCCAGCCCTACCCTGTCCTGCCTGCACCCTCCTCCCTCTCCCAGCACCCTCTCTTCCTGGTGCGGAAGCAGGAGAGGGTGGAACCTGGAAGATCCTAGCTAGCTCTTCAGCTCATCTCAGCCTTGTTATCAGGTCACCCTGTCATTCGTCCCACAAAGGCTGTTGCTTTGAGCTGTGTTCTAGGGCTGGTCCCAGCAGGAGAGAGAGAGAAAAAAGTAGCTGATAAGTGCTGAGACAAGGGAAGGGAAGAAGACTGGTTCTTTCTCTTCCTGCTTTTCTGGCTATTAATCAGGCCTTGTGTTTCAGTGGCATCATTGGCAGTGGCCTTTGTGTTTTCTCCAAACACCCAATCCAGGAATTCACCCAGCATGTCTACACTCTCAATGGCTACCCCTACATGGTATGCCTGACCTCTGACCTCTTCCACCTCCCTTCCCCACCACCCTCCTAGGGCTGCAGGGGATGGGCAGAAAGAGCTTAGCAGTGCCCTGAGTTCCTGCCCCCTCCTGCCTGCAGATCCATCATGGTGACTGGTTCTGTGGGAAGGCTGTGGGGCTGCTGGTACTCCATCTCAGTGGACTGGTGCTCAATGTCTACGTGACCCATGTGAGTGAAACTGGCAGTGCTTAGGGCTGGGACAGGCAGCCTGGTCCTATGAAAGAGATGGGACTCCTCTAGCTGGGCTGCCTGGGGGTGAAGTGTGGAGGCAGGATCTACTAGTCAGTAGGCAAGGTTCACCAAGCACCATGCCAAGTGACAGATACAAGTTTCATTTTTAGACCTGCCCTTGGGACCTTTAGCCTCATCTGCTGTAATCTCATTTATCTTGCTCAGCTCCATGCAGAGTACAATCGACAGAAGGACATCTACTTAGCACATCGTGTGGCCCAAGCTTGGGAACTGGCCCATTTCATCCAGTGTGTGAGCCTGGGCTTGACAAGGGAAGTGGGATGGGGTCCAGGGGCTGAGGAGTGGCCAGAGCTCCACTAATGGGATAGAGCTGGCTAAGAAAGAATTCTTGCCTTACTCACCTGGTTCCCCCAGCCATACATCCAAGAAGGCCGATGTGGTTCTATTGTGTGGGGACCTCAACTTACACCCAAAGGACCTGGGCTGCCGCCTGCTGAAGGAGTGGACAGGGCTGCATGATGCCTACCTTGAGACCCGAGACTTCAAGGTGAGGACCTACCTGATTATTTCCCCACCTGGATGCCCAGCTTCTTTCCCTTCTTTTCCCACATTCTGGCACGAGGCAACTGTTCATCTAGGGTTCTGAAGAAGGCTGTACAATGGTACCTGGGAACTGCTATGTCAACCAGAAGGAGCTGCAGCCCTTTCCCTATGGCATCCGCATCGACTATGTGCTTTATAAGGTCAGGCCTCTCCCCATAATGTGCCTTCACCCACTGTGTCTTTTCATCTCTCACCAATCTGTGCTGATCCTTTGTCTAGCTAGTCTAGTCTTAGTTCACTGATAACTGGAGAATGGGATAGCCAGGAGCTGGTTTTCTGGGAAGATATAAATTTCTCTCTGGCCTTTACTTTTCCCAGGCAGTTTCTGGGTTCTACATCTCCTGTAAGACTCTCAAAACTACTACGGGCCACGACCCTCACAGTAGCTCCCCCTTCTCTGATCATGAGGCCCTGATGGCTACTCTGTGTGTGAGACACAGCCCACCCCAGCAGAACCCCAGTTCTACCCACGGTGAGTCACCCCTGCCTTTTCCCTTGGTCCCTCCCCACCACAAGGCAGCCCTTCCACTCTGACCCTCTCTTCTACCCCACTGCCCTGCCTTGTTCTAGGACCAGCAGAGAGGTCGCCATTGATCAGTGTGCTAAGGGAGGCCTTGACAGAGCTGGATCTGGCTATAGTTCAAGCTCGTTGGTGGGCCACGTTTGCTGGCTATATGACTGGTCTAGGGCTGCTTTTCTTGGCAGTGCTATGTGTCCTGGCTGCTGGAGGAGGGATCAGGGAAGTTGCCATACTGTTCTGGACCCCCAGCATAGGACTGATGCTGGGGGCAGGTGCAGTCTACATCTTCCACATGCAGGAGGCCAAGGGCTTATGTAAGGCCCAGGCTGAGCTCCAGCATGTGCTAGGAAAGGCAAAGGAGGCCCAGGACCTGGGCACAGTGTCTCAGCCAGCCTTGTTCCTGGGGCATCAGGAGGGGGACAGGGCTGAGGACCAATAAAGCTTGACACTTTGATTGCTCTGTCTTTTTCGTTGTAGAGACAGCAATTGATTGTCACAATGTAGACCTTCAGGCTCCTACACATCTCTTGCTTTCCCTATACACTCCCACCTCCCATCTGCAGGCAGCCTAAGCCCTGCGGGTGGCAGAAACATTTTTATTGTAAACAGTGAGGCCCTCTCCTAGGCAGCCCAGATGAGCAGGGTCGCACTGTCCTGGGGTGAGGTGGTCTTTTATAGAAGAAGGTAGGCAGCCCACCCTCTTCTAGAACTGGGTTCCTGGCCCTGATCCCAGCTCGCTAAGCCGGCACTCCTCCTGGAAGCGGATGAGGGCATCTCGCTGGTTCACCACATTCACCAGCTTCCTCAGAATCTGCTCCTCAGCCTGCCGATCGGCAGCTGTCTTTAGGGATTCTGAAGTGAGAAGACGAAGCTTAGAGAACTAGGCAGGGAGGCTAGAGAGGAAAACCTAAACCTGGCCCATGTGATTTCTACAACCTGAGCTTTGTTTCCTAATCTGTAAAATTAGGTTTGTCAACACCAGTGGTTTTCTAGCACTGTTTCACAGCAGCATATTTTAAAAAGAAATTCTGCATGAAAGCCCAAATGTGCAGCTCTGATTGAACTGAAGGCAGAGTAGGGGCTTGGAGCCCCTTCCTCTGGCTTCCTCCTGAATTGCCTCAGAGGGACTCTGACTAGAGGACTGTGTTGCTTGGTCAGTATCTGACATCACGAGGATCATACAAACCCCAGCCCCATGATATCTGCCACTCCCCACATCCTGCCTACCTTCCCGGTTTATGTAGCCTCGTAGCTCCTGGTCCAGCTGCAATTGTTTCTCCTCCAGGCTAAGCTCCTGTACCCTGTGGAAGGCAGGGATAGAAGGGGCACAGCTGTCCATGGTGCCCAAGGACCTGGCGAGGGCCACTGTCACCTCACCATGTCCCTTACTTGATCATGAGCTCAGCCTCCTCCTTCACCAGGCTGTGTTTCTTCTCAACAAGATGTAGCAGCTGTTGTACCCATAGTGCCTTTTGCTGTTCTGGGGAACCTGATGAGAAGGAAGAAGGGGGGTGGGGTGGTGAGGAGTCCTGAGCATGAGGACGAGCCTGCTGTGGGCCAGAGCCTAGTGGTTTGAGGGATCGCTGGGGGCTGAACACGGTGCCAGGAGGCAAAGGGGCATCCTAGCTTAGCCCTCCCGTCTTCACTCACTGCTCTGGTTCCTCAAGGCCAGCTCCACCTTCATTCCCTCGGCCTCCAGCTCCCTCAGAGCAGCCTCGATCTCATTGAGTCGCCGCTGGATGGCCTGAGGAGTACAAGACAAGAGGCCCAGAAGTCTTTGGACTGTTCAAGAATGGAGCACTAGAGAAGCTCTGGCCCCCGCAACTCTGACCCCGTCAGAACTGGGAGCCCCTGGATCTCACCTGGGCCTTGCAGAACCTCTTCATCTCCTCCTCCTTAGCGCGGCGCAGCAGAGTCCGCCGCCATGTCGGGTACTTGTCCATGGTGCCTGAGTTCTTGGCGAAGGTCAGCAGAGCCTACAGCAGGGTCAGGCCAGTCAGGGCAGGGCCGAGGGGTGGGCAGGGGTTGGGGAAGGAACCTGGGCTGGAGGCGAGGGGTGTGCTGGTAGGAGAGATGGAAGCTTAGCTATGAAGGAGTCGGGCTGGGTGAAGACCCTGCAGGAGCAGGGCTGGGGGAACACGCTGCAGGTTCCTCCTGGGCGGGTGGGGTAGGCGGCCGTTTCCCCACGCACCTGTTCCGTGGCGGGGTCCAGAGCCGCAGGCTCCCTGTCATCCTCGTCGTTGTCCTCATCCTCGTCACTGGAGGAGGGGTGCCCTCCCCCCTCCTCCTCCATGGCCATAAGAACTGGGCAGAGAAGTGGCCATGGCCTGGCATCCACCACTGCCCTTTCCGTTCCCTGGCGTTCCCCTTCAGGAACCCCAGAGCCGCCTCCCCACCCCTCCCCGGGCAGCACATCTGGCAGAGCAACAGAGCAGTTACCTTGAGGGGTCTGGGTTGGCACCCCCCAGCCCACAAAGCTGCCCTCTAGCGCCTGGCGAGCCAGGGCAGAGCAGCTGCGGGGGGGCTTGGGCGGAGCCTCCTCTTCAGGGTCAGGGGTCAGATTGAGGGAGGACAGCCGTTCCCGCTCTGGGCTGGAGAGACGGATAGGCCGACGGGTGGGCTGGTTGGGGCTTGGGACTGGACTGGCCCCCTCCTGGGGGGCCATGGGAGCTGGAGTTGAGGGGCCGGATGGCATGTTATTCTCGCCTGGTGTGGGGAGGTCCTAGAAAAGCCACCATGTGGTCTGGTCAGTGACCTGGCCAACGTGGGGTTGAGGCTGCCTCTTTAGACAAATGTGGGCCCTGGAGTTCATTCATTGACTGGACAGTGTCAGACCATGTTCTAGTTCTTGGTCTTCAACAGTAAGTGAAACAACACAGAAATCCCTACCTTCGTGGAGATTATACTCCAGTGCAGAGCATTCAGGTACCCCTGCAAAGTCTGCTGGGCATGGCGAGACCCCTTCCCTTGTCCCCATCCCCAACACACTTTCACAGCTTTTACCTGACTCTCAAGGCCTCTGTCATTGCCATCCTCTTTGTGGCCTGACTGGGGTAGGTGCTGCAGGCAGTAAAAATGTCCTGGGAAGGGTGGAGGGGGGAAGAGACATCAGATGAAGGCAGCACAGTGCCGAGACTCAGTTTATCGGAGAAGGTGGGGATGACAGGACTCTGTATTTGCAGGTAAATTTCTGTTAGCCGCCTGGTTCCTTACAACCCCACATTTGGGGCTTTGGAGGAGACAGAGATATGAGCTCAGGGAAAGAGTGACATCTCTTGAGCCTGTTTCCACCTCATGCCCAGCACCCCAGTTCCCCTCCACCTTCAAACTCCTTGCATCCAGGCAGGGCCATGCCCAAAGTCTCTCTCGAGGCCTCCTGGGCCCACTCACCATCTTCTGGGTGCTGTCCATAGCTACCTGGCCACAGTGTGGCCTCACAGATATGGCAGCAGAAGCAGCTCCGGTGGTAGAAACGGCCATTGGCACACAGGCGTTCCAGGATATAAAGGCGTTCCCCACAAAGTGCACACACGTCCTCGCCACCAGCCTGCACCAATCCCCATGCCACAGTGTCAGCTGGATAGTTATCCCCTACCCCTGAAACCCCAACCTGACCTCAAGCCTCTGCTTGCAGGCAGAGCCCCCATTCTCACCTCCTGGTGTTGCAATGGGGGTGTCCGGGGTACACCAGACTCTGGGACAGGCAGCTCCTCAGTGCTGGGGGTCTCAGCCTCTACCTAAGGAGGTAAGTGTTCAGGTCAGGAGGTAGAGAGGCAAGACCAGCTGGGGAATGGATGTGTGCAGATGAAAGGGGAGTGAGACTAGGAAGGGAGACTGGATGGGGGGAGCTTTAAAGCACTGGACCTTGGGTGGGAAGTAAGGTATGGGGGGACAGGACATGGGAAAGTGTCTGGGGAAGGGACCAGAACATGGGGCTGGGGACTGTCCAGCCCTTGCATGTATTTACCTCCAGGCGTGGCTTCTTGCCACCTACATCCTCCCCGTTTTCCTGTAACAAGTCATACGCTCAGCATGGGGCTCAGCCCCCAGTCCTCCCTTCCCCCATTCTGAATGTCCTCCCCACCGCTCCAGAGACCCCTACTAGGAACCACTGCCCAGACCACCTGGGCCCGGGTTCGTTGCAGGGTCCTCTGCAGTTTGCCAAGGAATAGTACAGCACTGGAGGTCCCCAGGGAGCCTTGGTTGACAGGGCCTGCAGGGAGAGGGTGTTAGGGTAGATGGGGAGCCAACTCGGAGTAGACCAACCACACTTCAGCCCAGGGTACCCAGCTTCAGCCCAGGCTGTCCCTCAGAGGGCACCTCCTACCCCCACACACCCCTGCTCACCCCACCTGTGCCCCACCATCCAGGTCACCTGAGTTGTGGGGTGCGCTCTTGAAGGCACTGTGAAAGTGGCTAAGGTAGGCGATGAGGCCCAGTGGGTCGCTTCCTGCCACTATTGCCTGTGCGGACAACATGGGTGTGATGCCCAGTTCATGCTCTGCCATCTTCAAGGCCCAACTAGTCGCGTCCAGAGCCCCCATCCCCTGCAGCTCTGAGGGTTCCCTGTGGGGTATCAGGGAGAGAAACCAATGGGAGACTAGAGCCTGACTCCATCTAAGAGGGAGAGGGGAGGGTAGAGAGCAGTAGGGGAGGGAAAGGGAGAGGCTGGGGGAGTGCAAAGGAAGGAGAAAGCATGACGGTTATTCTTTTCTGTGCTACCCCCCCATCACCACCACCCAGTGACAACCTTCTGGCCTTGGGGATCGCTACCGCTCACAAAGCTGACCCTAATGAATGCATTTGATTCCTATAAGATTCTTAGGCAGGTGGGCAGGCAGAGTCAGGCAGGGAGGTGAAGTGACTTGGGCAAGTGGTGGCGCTGGGACTCAAGTGGGTGTGCTAACTCCTGCACAGTGACTTCCCCATCATTCCATACTGCCTGAAGTAGAGAGAGGGCAGCGGCAGGAAAGGGAGGTATGGTCTGCCAGGGACCCCTGAGCCTAATTTGCAACTCACAGCAGGCTAGGCCGCAGCCTGTTCACCAGGGCACACAGAGCCAGCCCATCGGCCCAGGAGGAAGAAAGGTTGGTGACATGGACACCAGGGTACCCAGCTGTCTGCTCCTGGCACCAGTGTAGCAGTTCTTCCTGTGTGCCCACCGACCCTGAGAGAGGAGGTTGTGCTGTGCTCAAGGCCCCGTGGCTCACAGACAGCCCAGTTGCTGGGGGTGGGGTCTGTATGGGAGGTGGAGGCAGGGCCCCACCCCTACTAGGACACCAACCTAACACTGTCAGCAGTACTTCCTTCATCCCAATTTTTCTCATTAAAAAAAAAAATCTGGAATAAAATGAGGGAATGAACTAGCCACATGGACAGCAGCAGGCTATGAACTGAGGGGCATGGGAGGCCCAGAGGCAAATTCAGCTGCTGTGGATGTAGCAGTTGTTGAAGTGCTGAAATACTTCCACACACTGGCAAATGGCTGCTGCTGAGTGCTCTGCCGCCCCTCCACTCTCCAGGTGCCCCAAGCCACCCCACCGTCCAACAGTGCTCCAGCGCTCTGCTCCAGCCAGGGCTGCTGCTCTCTAGGTTGGTGCTTGTGCCTCACTGGTTGGTAAACACTTTGGACATGGCCCTGGAGGAAGGCCCGCTTACCACTGTCGGGCTTTCCTGAATCAGTCTTGTCATTCTTCCTCTGCACGGGCTCCTTGGCCATCACATCATACAGGTCTCGCACCTAAGGCAGCCCCCTTCAGGTCTCCAGGCAGGCTGACCACACCCCCATGGGCCCACGGGGAGGGCCCTCCCGGGGCAGGGCTAACCCAGAGGGGCAGTGACTGGGCAGGTCTAGAGGGAAGGCCTGACCTAGAGGAGGGGCCTGACCTGGGAAGTCTGGGAGGAGTGCCAGGGTTTCTGACCTGATTAGAAGACACAGCCCGGAGGTTAAGGTTGGGGTAGCGGGTGGCTGGGTCCAGCCCATATTGGGCGACGTTGCGGTGCATGTTTTCCGGGGATGTTTGTGACAGGAGCTGGTACAGGCTCTCACTGGGGAGGAAGGGGTGAAGGTGCACCCATCAGCATACACCCCTCAAGAACTGCCAGGCCTTTCTTTTATTCTCTTTTGTCCATGCCCTCATCTAGTCACCCAGCACCCCGCCCCCTTGTCCTATAGCTAGCCCTTTCCCGCCCTGCCCCATCCCCTAACTCAGGCCTCACCGCTCTGCCAACACTTCTAGGGGCCCAGCGCCCTCTGCCCACCGCTTCACCATCCAGGCTGCATCAAAGGCTGCCAAGAATCCCCGGGCTACTCCAGTGCCCAGGGGCCAGAAGGGCTGCAGGGTCAGAAGGATAGGAAGCAGCTCAGAGTCCAACAGGAGTGTCCAAGCCCAGATGCCCCCAAGGTCATAGCAGAGGAGGCTCCTCACCACATCAAGCAGCCCTTAGCTGCAAACCCTTTCCCCCACTCCTTCCCAATCATGGAACCCCTGTGCCTTCTTAAAAGGAGTCCCTGTTTCTCCAAGCACCAGAAAGCCCCTCTTCCTCCCCAATCAGGGAACCTTGTCCCCTCACCTCCACCAGGCAGTCCCCCACTAGCCCCAGCAGCAGGCGGGCACCATGCTTCTCCTGGACACGAGCAGAGCTATCTGCTCGCATCATGCTTGTGAAGTCAAAAGCAGAGACATCAGGCCGCCCACGGGCGTCTCGGGCAAACTCCAGCTTCCCGAGCTTGCCATGGGTGGCGAAGTCAGCAGCTGCCTGGGCAAAGCACTGCAGAGCCTCGGGCACCACATTGGCACTGCTCAGCAGCCGGTCGGTCTCTGGCCAGTCCTACAAGGCCAACAGATCAGGAGCAGCGTCAACTGGGCAGCCTGTCTCCTTGAGTGTAGAAGGTGTATGTACTGAGGCCCCAAGAAGGGCTTCCCCAGACTACACAGCAGTTGAAGGCTGAGCTGGGCCTAGAATTTGAAAGTCCTGCCTCCCTGGCTCAAGCCCCTTCCTCAGCACTCACCCTGCTGCTGGGGGAGCCAGGCCTCACCCTGCCCCCGAGGCCTAGAACCATTACTGTTATCATACACTTGCTTTGGACAAGTCACTAAACTTCTCAGAGCCTCAGTTTTTCCATCATGTAGATAACACACTTAACTTCTCTAGGTCCTCATGAGAATTAGGTGAGAAAATGCATATAAAGCTCTCAACACAGTACCTAGCATATAGTAGGTGTTCAATTAGTTCATTCGGCAAATACTTACTGGGGGCTTACTACATGCCAGGCACCATTCTAGGCGCTGGGACTAATGAGCAAACAAAAGAGACAGAGACAGAACCCCTGCCCTAATGGAGTTTCCTGTGGTAGGCCTGTGGTGGGTATAAGGTGTTTAGCCCAGAGTGTGATTCAGATTACTACAAATCCTAGGGGAGTGGAGCTGAGGAGGACAGGTCAGCACAGAGGCAGGGCAGCTCTCTCCACACCAGGGCTGGAGGGTGGGGCAGACTATGTCGAAGTCTGGCCTCCATCTCCCAGGGCCCACCGCCCAGCCCCTCCCTGCCTGGCCTGGCCTCACCTGACGTAGCACCCCCAGACGCAGCAGGCACTGCTTCTTGGCTGTCATCACAAAGTAATGTGTGTCGTCCTTGTAGTATACAATGTTTTCCAGATCAATGCCTGGGGGGCAGGGCAGAGGGCAGGATATATGTCTCCTCCTTTTATGTGTCACCTCTCCAAACACTCCAGCCAAGCCTGACCTCTCTGTCTACAGTGAGTGCCCCCCACACAGGAGCCCATGAGTTATGATGACACAATAGACCATCTGTCCCTGGCCTGAGGATATGGAGCAAAGAGAGGAACTTAGGTGGGGCAGCAGCTGGGAGACCAGTACCACATGGTCACATGCTTATGGATGACAGCTTGGCTTCCTGAGCTCGGGTGTGCACGCCCCAAGGGGTGTGGCCAGTACAAAGCCAAAATAAACATAGGGCATCTACTTGAAGTACCAATTTCATTTTGAATTTATATCGTTTATATATTAAAGCATATATTTAAAAAGCACAAAGCAAAATCCACGCATTTTGTGAGAGATTTCTAAGACCTGTCATGCTGGATGGCAAAGTGGGGCTGTGCATGCTGAATCCCCGGGGGGCACAGGTTCTTTGCTGCCAAGATTCTGTGGACTGAGGACAGGTCTGGGTGGGCAGGAGAGGTAGGAGCCAGGCCCCAGTCAGGCAAGGGGAGGGGAACCGGTGTGACAGAGGGGCCCTGACCTGTAGCTTTGAGCAGGCTCTGGAAAAAGGTCTGGTTGTAGATCCTGGCCACACCGCTGATCTCGGGCACCTGTGTCTCTTCCACAGTGCGCCTGTTCACAAAGTTGGCCGTGATGCCAATAGCCAGTTTGCCACGCATTTCTCGCACTGTAAAGCCTAGAGGTGGGGGCAGGTAGGCAGTGGCAGAGATATAACAGCCTAGAAAGGCCCAAGAGAAGCTCAAGATGCTGATTTCTTCAAGGAAAGGGATCACTCACCTTCAGGGACGAATTTACCTCCAGCGGCAGAGATGAGGACATCAAATTCATAGTTGGCCAGTTGAGCAGGAGGATTGGGCTGGAGCTGGGCACGCCAGCCACTCCCTGGCAAATGGTGTGAGAAGCACAAAGGTGTAGGAGTCTGAAGGGGCCCCTATATTCCCAGGACAAGCCAGTGAAATAATTAAATAAATGTGTTAAAGGGCTTTATGGTTTAGAAAGCAATGACACACTGCCAAATTATACCTTTACAACTTCCTGTAGAAAGTAGGGAAGGAAGGAAGGGAATGTTACTCCCATTTTACAGATGCTCAAAATGAGGCTCCGAGTAGTTTGCACAAGGCCACACTATTAGAAAGGGAGATGTGACTGACTCCCAACCCCATCCTTTTTCTTCCACAGGCCAAGATGTCCTTGGCAGATGGTAGTTCTCAGGAGCAGAGAAGTACTTACCCTTTTGGGGAGGGGGCTGGAGGCCAGTGAAGGTGACACCCCAGTGAATTTCCACCCCCAGCAGTAATGCCACTTTCAACAAAAGCAGCTGGAGCTGCCGGATGCCTGGAAGGGAGAGGACATTAGGAACAGGGACCCAGGACCGCAAAGCCTCCCCAAGTACCAGTGTGCACCTGGTCAGAGCTGGAAGTCTTACAGATCATTCTGTCCAACTGCCCATTTTACAGATAAAGGACCTGAGTCCTAAAGGTCACCTAGATGAATTGAATCTTGTCCACTTTGCCTCTTGGCTGGCCCAGCAGCCCCCTACTCGCCTTTGTCTAGACCCAGGCTCACAGCCCCATCAGTACACCAGGTGTTACTCACTGATGTGGTCCAGGGTGCCTGTGCAGAAGCGCCCATAGAACTTCTTGGCACCGAGCGCCCGAAGGTCATGGATGGTGAACGGCCAGAGGTGGAGCACATTGTGGCGAGAGAACTTGGTGCGCTTTTCCACGAGTACCACGTGGGCTCCCAGCAGTGCCAGCTCCACAGCAGCCCGCAGACCACAAGGTCCAGCACCCACCACCAGGCACTGTGAACACACAAGACAGTGTGGGCATGGCATCCTATTTCCCTCCTCTGACTCCCTCCTCTCTCCAAGCCCCATCCCAGGCACCGTGTATTCACCTTCGTGTTGGTGCAGGCCTGGCCCTGCTGGTAGACGGGCTGGCTTGCTCGCTTGTCCAGCTTGGCCCACAACGACTTGGCGCTCCAGTAATTGAGCTGAGCCTTGATCTTGTGGTACTGGGGCAGCCCCCCACCAGGCTCCAGCTCCAGGGCCTGGCATAGCCCCTGGAAGCTGCTCAGCACATTCTGGCACAGCTGGGCCTGCAGGAAGCTCTCGAAGTGGGCATGTGCTGGGTTGGTGGACGTGGGTGAGGCCATGGAGGCCTCTGGGTCTCTCAGGGAAGGGAGCAGCTGGGCAGACGCACGTGGCTACTGGAGAGGAGGGAAAAAGAGGAGAGGAGGCTGGAGGAAGGAGGAAGGGAAAAGGAAGGGGAGGGGAAGAAACAGGCTGGTGTCCCCAGGGAGCTCCAGGGCCACCCCTGATTGGCTCTGCTCCTCTCTCCCAGCCCATTCCCAATCTGCTCCAGAGACAGCTGCTATTCTTTCCAAGTGAAATCTGCCAAATTTGGAAATGAAAAATCAACAGTCCTGGGCACAGGAGGGATGCAAGAAGAGAGGGAGCCACCAGCTTGGCCCACAGGAGAGCCCTTGTGGATAAAGCTGCCAGGGATGTCCAAGCCCTGCTCTATCTCTGGAGCCCACAGGGCAGAAAGCAGGGCGTGGGGTAATTTCTCAGACGTGGACAGGGCATGTTAGCCGGAAGGAGAGCTTTCCTTGCGGTGCAGACTGGGGCAGACTCAATACCTGCAACCCAGCTGCTAGGCACACAGTCTCCCGCACCTCCCCGTGCCAGGTGCCCCTCGGTGGCCCCAGTGCCACGCAGGCGTGGGGTGTGTCTTACACCGGGGCAAAGTTTTTCTCCTTCGCACTCGTGATTTCCTCCTGACGGAGGGGAGACGGTCTGTAACCAGACCGCGAAGGTTCCACTTCCCACCACCCAAACTACCTCCGCGAGCAGCAGGAGGATGTTGCACGTTAGGCGGCCCGGGTGAGCGGGCACTGGGTCTGTTTCTGACTCACTGCGGTCAAAAGCACTTCCCGTGTGAGACTTGCCCTTCTTCAGGGGGCCTCGAGGGCGCTCGGGGGCGACGGCGGCCGGGGTCGCCCCTCCCGGCTCCCCCACCCCACCCAGGACCCGCCCCGTGCCCGTGGGCTTAGGCGCTCTCCCAGGAATTTCCCGAAACAAGGCCTCCCTTTGTCCCCCCTCTGGCTCG